GTCTATAGCCACGATGCACATCTGAGTGTTGCGTCGTATGTAGAAAAATGCCTGTTGCTGAAAAAACTACATGAGCTGCTTTCTAGAAGATTACAGTGCGTTTTGTCCCCATAGACTCAATAGGAAACACTTGGTAATGCGAAACACAATTATTTTGCGCATTTTTGTGTGCATTTTAATGCGTGTTTGCCTATTCACATCAATGTGCCACAATCTGCTCAAAAAAAAACGCAACTTAATGTACGTGCGTAAACGCACGCAAAAATGTGCACAAAACGAGCAATATTGTGCAGCAAAAATGTGCGCAGATGCACGCGAAAACCCTGTTGCCTAGGTGTGAACGAGGCCTAAATGCACTGATACACTGCCCCTCTAGTGCCTATTCTAGAAATCTCCAGTTGTGGTGAGGACGTATGAAGGCTTTTATTGCTGATATCTCCTTCTGACAATACTACATCTCTGGCTGTCATGGCAATCAATTAATTCAGTACTTCTAAGTCACTGACTCGGAACAGGCATATGGATTAGGCGTTCTAAGTTGCCTAACAACTCATCTGTTTTTCTGTGTTAGCGCTTCATCTGTGGCTTGAGACCAGGAATCCAGCACTGCAGTCTTTGCCCTCCGCCGACCGTCTCCTCAACATAAATACAAGGATATCACCGGCACACACTTGGAAATTCAAATATCAATATTGCATTTATATATTTATTTAGTGGAAAATGTCATATCATGTCATATGGTGCTAACATTTCGGGTCCTCACAGGGATCCTTCATCAGAGCAACACAGTGACAAAATACATTAGTGAACATATAGCTTTATATGCTCATCAGTCCAGGGAGGATGTGCATACATAGCTGTATGTTCACTAATGTATTTTGACATATTTACCATATGACATGATGTGACATTTTTCACTAATTAAATATGTCAATGCAATATTGATATTTGAATTTCCAAGTGTGTGCCGGTGATATCCTTGTATTTACTGCTAGTGTTTGCACGGCGCCATCCGTGCGGTCACCTTGAGCACCACAGATACTTTTATGCTGTAAGACCGTAGGAGTGTGCATGGTACTTGGAACCCTCTCATTAACATGACATTATCTTGTCTGGCGCCTGAGACCACCCTGCACTGTACAGCAGACAGGAAGTCACCAAAGCAGCAACGTTGGCAGCCAAGCAAGGACTCTCCCACTATTCTATGAGAAAGAGAGAACACTCGGGAATTGGTGCATCACATGATTCTGGCTGGGACAAAACTTTAACAGACCAGATTTTCTGTATCTAGTCCAATATCAATCCCAGAATATAATGCATCTACAGTTGTTATAAGATCAATGTTGTGCGGCATGGGTCATGTGAACAAAGTGGGGGATAATATTTATAATGCAAACCAGTTCTAACCGGTTGTTTTCATTTGGGTATACCATCTTTTTCTTCTGTATACTTTGCTATTTTCAAGCTCCTATGAAATGTTTTTGCTTTCATGATAACTTCACTTGGTTGTTCTGGGCAGAAAATGTCCTTAACCTTGCACAGCACTCTATCAACGTGCATGGTATGTGCTGCCAACCTGTTTATGCCAATGCAGAGAAGAGGGGGAGGAGGTGGATGCGGACAATGTCAATCAACTCAGAGGAGACCATTTGCAATTGGGAAAAGTCTGCCCAACTGAAGATTCCCCCAAAACATAAGGGCAGCTTTCCCATAACAGTCTGCTTACAGAATCACAGTTACATCAGTTTGTTTGCTGCTGGTCCTTCATTTGTGCAATCAGTTGGCTGGGGGTCAAAGTGAATGCCTGAGTAACATCTAAAAAAAAAGAGTCATTAAATCTCTGCAGTTTTCCTTTTAAAAATACTGCAAGTACAGAAAAATACTCGGTGGTGATCTGTCAGGAATCCAGTGAGTCCCTAAAAACACAGTACATCTGCTGTACTGAAATCCCAGGCAGTGTTGGCAGACCTGCCTAAGTTCTTTTTCAGCACAACTACAGAAGCACCCAATCCTTCCTTTTCGTATTTACATAAGCAGGTGGTGTTCTGTAGTACATTCAGGAAAACTCCGGCAGCGCTGCATGGGATTTTGGAGCAGGAGAGCGGTCAGTTCAACCATTTTAGGAGTTCACTGGATTTCTGGACGATTAACAATTGTTCTGGACTGCCTGAATTTTTAAAGAGGAAATTTGCATGAATTGCAGAGATCTACGGATTATTTTATTTTTTAAATTTTTTGCCTAGACATGCACTTTGTTTAGAGGTGACCAGTTTTACAATGTATCTGTGATACAAGGAGAATACACGAGCTTCAATAACACTATCCCAGCAGAATCTGGTGTGCGGCCAGCATTTCTTCCTTTTGTATCTGTGATACCGCCAACTGGTGTCAGCTACCCATCTATGAACTGCGGTGCAGTGTGTAAACCACAGGACTGATCGAACAGAATCTTTCAGCAAGCAAAAACAGTTCACACATTATAGATTTTAAAGCTGATTTTGCAAAGGTGTATTTTCACCTGTGCAAAATCAGCTTTAAAATCTATACGAATCCATAGCTACAATTCTATTTAAAAATAATCAATATATTATTATGTATATGTGAAGTGATTTCATAGCAAAAAAAAATCAATAGTTTTACCAATTAAAAAAAAAAAATAAATACATACAAAGACATAATCACAAGAGGAAACTACTACTTGTAACGCAGCAATTTTGCCACCTGAGTGCAAAAACCTCCTAACCGAATGGCGACGGGTTGTGATGCAGCCGTGTAATTGTCTATGTGACGGCTGATCGCTATCTATGTGAAGTGTTCCACCACAGGGGTGCGTACCGCACAACAGGAGACAGCTACTTTGCACGAAAATAGAAACAATAAAAGATGGCTGTCACCTTAAAGGATCCAGATCGAATGACAAATTGCTGTCATCTTATAGGACATATTGAATAATTGCACGCTTCACTTACGCCACTTTATCAGAAGAGGTATACGTTATTTGTGTCTGCCTTTATTGAGAGCGTTATATGGAGCTTGTTGAGCAGTAAAGCAAACTCGCTGCACTCATCACAGGGATTACTGACACGTCTGAGCAGGATACGATCATAATGTCACTGTTTTTAAAAAGTAAAGTTTTCATATTTTTCCTGTGTAATAATACATTACTTAGAATGAGATCAAAAAGGACTTCAAATATAACAAAATGCAATATAGTGCAGTTTACCAATTCTTAGATGTGGTGGCTGCATTAGTTTTCTTTTGTAAGCTTTTTAAAGGGTTATTGGGCCCTCACTGGTTTTACTAGCAAGCAGTAGATAGATGCAAAACGATAAAAATAAAAAATAAAACTTTTTCATAGGGTTAATACTTACCTGTGTCTCCGCTGTGCACTCCCAGCCGAACATCTGAAAATTTCTCGGGCGGCCGCAAAGGATCTTGGGGCGGGCGCATGCGCAGTTCAAATGTTCGGTCGGGAGACGAGGAGAGACACAAGGTAAGTCTATGGAGCAGCGTGCACCCGCACAGACTCCGTGGGACATCAGAGGAGAGGAGGGCAGAGGCGTCAGCGCTGGATCGGAGACCCGCACCAGCGCTGGAGGGACAGCTGAAAAGGACAGTAAAGAAGAAGATGATTGGATTAAGAGACATTTAAGGTAAGTCCTTACATTTCACCTGGCCAGTAAGTCTGTTATTTTTAACAGACCAAGCTGTTCAGCAAAAAAAAAAGAAGTTGTAGGGTTGAGACAAACCATCTAACACTGATAGGGTCGCTTAAACCTTTATCCCAAAAGGGAAAAAATTGTTGCTGTAACCACTTAAAAAGTGTTAAAAGTGTTTCCTGATGAACCGGCTGAAATTCGTGGGTGCCACTGTCAGCCGGTGGGTTGAACGAAAAAAAATAGACACGTGTATACCCGACTTTAGTTAGAGTTTGGATTTCATTTGTTAGTCAAGCCCATCGAACCCAAACCTCCCGACAGGGTGACAATGCTGCTTTCCAAGGGTGGCTCTGTTGCTGTAAAAAAGCCTAATTAAATGAAAACTACGTGCAGAACATTGGCTTGCAGAACTGGGGTCCTCTGAAATCCCAGCCAGGATACTCTTTGCATGGAGTTTGCATGTTCTTCCTGTGCTTGGGTGGGTTTCATCTGGGTTCTACGGTTTCCTCCCACACTCCAAAGACACGCATGTAGGTTAATTGGCTCTAGTGTGTGTATATGTGTATGTATACATGTGAGATTGGGACCTTAGATTGTAAGCTCATTGAGGGCAGGGGCTTATCTCTACGACTAAGCCCAAGATTAGGTGAAACGTGTCTGTTCGGCCGGATTTTTTCTGCTTTGAGTGCTTTGACACGCTCCCATTGGTAAGCACCCAACTTAATCCCCTCGCAGAGCCGTGGAAGAGCAGTGTGTTTGCTCTGTGCCCTTTGGATTGTTGAGGGCAGGGACTGATGTAAATATAACAATATGTAAGTAATGGGTAAATGATGATGATGATCTAATCACAGTAATAAATAAATACCTAAAACATTGGTAAATGTATTGGGGAGAGGTACTGAATATGTTTTTTTTTTTATTTGACATATTGCACAGCACTAAGTAAACCAAACAAAATGAGTCTCTGTCCACAAATGACTGCAGCTGCTTCCTTCTCCATAACCTGCCAATGCCCCTGCAGAATTAGGAAGGCTAATAGCCATTTATGGAACTCGACTTTAAGTCTGCAGGACTCCATTGGTGCAGGACAAAGGACAACCCGAGTTCTGTAGGCTACCAACTCTGAAGCATTTGTTAAGAGATGTGGAAGAATAACAGTGAGCAGCTGGAGACTGTAGGGCGTTGTGACTTCTTTCTACATAGTGTTATTTCGGCAATGTTCACAATAAATGTTCACAGTGAATGCCCAACAGAAAATGGTCCTTCTGTAGGCTTTACAGTACTGCAGGGTGTACCAAATGCCTACCTAGGACTATAGATTGGACACAGTTAACAGTTTACCTTCCACATCGCTGCTAAGGTAGTTCCGCACTTCAGTCAATATGAAGTTGATGTCTTCCTCGGTGGGAATGGGGTGATGTGTGATCTCTGTCGGAGTATCGGTGGTGCCCGCTATGGTCATCTTTTCCCATGGTAGGAAAAATATCACTCTGCCATCACTGGTGGCTGGATCCAGAAGTCCCATGTTATCTGGGCTGAAAGACAATACACATTAAAAGGGGCGCTACAGTTTATTTTCAGTGAGAACATATTCTGAGCACTTATTGTAACCAATTTCAGAGCACTGCTAAATAACTGCTGAGATAAGGTTACCTGCCATAGAGACTGTTGTTTTCAATTGGTCATAACCAATGTGCACTAAAAGAGCAGTGAATCACAATGACAAACAGAGCCTACATATACTGTATAATGAGCTATAGTATACATGTACAAATAATGCATATAAACAAAAGTTTTACTGGATTACTGAGAGGATTTCTTACATTAAGCAGATAACTTTTACATAACTAAAAAAAATTATAAACATAGGTTCTCTTTTTCTGAGATAAATGGGTCTACATGGGCAATTTAATAGGCTACTTTCCGTTTGTTGGCACTACATCCAGTTCTTAGCTAAAAAAAAATATGTAAAGAGAATTTGTCACTTTGAAAATTTAAAGTAAAGTGACAGGTCCTCTTAAAAGCCCAGTTAGATTCGCCTTTCCCGTGCTCCCATGTTGCTCCATTCCTCTAAGAAGAGCTGTGAGATCTAAACCCTGTGACGCTTCAAGTCGGAGCTTACTGAGGGTTAATACAGAATAGGTGTGTACCTGGAATTATATTTTCTTACAGGCTAATACCATTACACATCAGTAATGTTTGCAGTTTCCTGTTCCCTAAGACTAAGCCTATAAGGGTGGCCACTGGGTGGGGACTTTTACCATGCTGGCTGTTCGAAGAAATAAACTATGTGGATGGTAAATCGGTAGGCGGCTTTTCTTTGGCTGGTATTGCAGTTTTCTGTTGTTTGAAAAAGTTTGGAATAAGATAAACCAAGAATGAAGGGTGAATCACGTTACAGTTACCTGTAGTATCCAGGCATGACAATGTGCACTCCGGCACTTGGCTGGCAGATGTTGCGGACCTCCTGATTGTCCATTTTGCGTACAGAGTCCGTGAACGGTCCGGTGGCATTGATAACACATTTGGCGCGGACATCAAACTCTTGCCCTGCGAAAGAAAAGCTGCATTCACTCTCATGGCGTACATGACTCTTATGCTGGGCACACACCTTACAACCATCGTAAGACTTGTCTTTCGATGGTTGTAAGGTACTTTAAAAAAACGTACGGATTTCCCGCGATTATCGCAGGGTGTGTGGGGACCTTTACAACCGATATCATTAAAGATGCATCTGTGTTAATATGTGCACCACTCCGCTGTGCCTGCAAGCTTTCCAGAGCTACAGACAAGTGGATGGATCTTCCCTGTGCTGGTCAGTATTCTCTATGAGCCAACACAAGGCAGATCCCCTCCACTGATCTGCAGGTTGGGTCAGCTTACAGACATAGTCCAAATGGGTATGAATATTTCAGAGGTGCTGGGAGGAGTCTCTTGCTATTCTTTATGATAGTCCCAACTTGATTTGTAGGCAGATCATTACTTATGGTTAGGCAGCTCAAAGACGCTCATGAGGAAGGGGGTTGTGTCAGCTTCCAAAATGCGTTGGCTGTTTGATCGGCACAATTATTAAACTTTTTTTATGGACTCTAACATGCATTTGTGGTCTGGAGCTCTTCTGTCCCTGCAGACATAGTTTACTACCTGCGTAGTACATTGCTAAGGATGACAGAGAATAAAACATCAAATGACTATAGGCAGGTTAGATCACCCAGAGGCTTTGCATGGCTCTAGGGGTCTCAACAAGGTGCCATCTACACCCACAGGCCTAGGGCTGGCCTGACTCTACCTAACGATTTATGATCTGGCAGCTTAAATGTATCTAATAAAGAATTGTGGGATAGGATGATATAAAACATATATGCATACACAGCTTTAAAGGGGGCCAGTTTTTAACACATGAAACCAGTTTAGCTAGTTTCCTATAATTGGGGATATATTCTAATGCTCTTTCTTCATTTTAACATTTGTACAAATGCGGCAAAATAATTGCATGGCATTTTAGCTGCAATGATTCCATTCCTCAGCCATTATGAAAGTGTCCCTGTTGGATTTTTCAGATGCAGTGAGCTTCTAGAGTTCAGGGGCAGAAACCTCAGCATGGGTATAAGAGTTGGACAACTAAGGGCTAGTTCACACCAAGCGCAGAGCAGGTGAAGAGCAGAGCAGCTACAGTACGGATCAAAACTTCGTCCAATGTATTCCAAAGATATTTTGGGCTCTAGTTCACACCGCAGCGTTCAGTTCCAGAGCATGTAAACAAACTGCAGCAAGCCCTATTTTACCTGCTCTGGAACACTCTGGAACGCATGCAAACGCATAAAAGAATGCATGCAAATGCCATGGATCGCACTGAAAGCCCATTTTAGTTTTTTTTTTAAATGGCCTGGAACGCGTCAAACCACACTGCACTGCACGTCCAGAAACTCATGCAGATCTGCTCTGCATTTGGTGTGAACAATCCCTAAGGCTGTAGAGGAAGTGATCTTTTCCAACATTCAGCTGACTTTCTGCCCTGTCCTAGAAGCTGGCCACATGCATAACAATTTGACTGTACAACATTCCTACGGTCTCGTTTTGAGTTACCAACATAGTGTTGCACAGTTAAATTTTTACAAGTGTAGTGGGCTTTAGAGCAAGTCAATATGAAAAGACAGCAAGAAAATTGGTAGTTGAATTGAGAAAGCTGTTTGGACGATCAGTGAAACGTCTTCAAGAAAAATACAGCAAGTCCAGTTGCCTTGACTTATTCTTTACAGATATGCACCAGGAAGATACACCTGCAGTGAATGCTTGATTCATGTCACATTCCCATTGCCCCTTGCAAAGGAAAAAAATCAGACAAGCATATAAAGGATTCATTTTCTGTTCACGTATGAGAAACTTTGGCATACGTCACTGTGAATGTTATTACATAAAGCTCAGGTTGTACTGTTTCGCTGGGTCTTGTGTTCCTATAATACAACATTTAGAGGGAAATACAGGAAAGAAATGAACATCGTTCTTATTGTTTCATTTACGTATTTACAAAAAGCACAAACAGGCTACAAGTCCGATACCTGTTAGAACGTCTCTGCAGCGTGCACCGTAGACCCGCTCCCTGCCGCTCAGCGAATCTGTCTTCTTCAGCAAGCGTACCACTTCAGTATAATTGGCTGTGGCAGCCCCGTACCTGGCAGCAGTGAGAGCGATGGCGAGGTTCATCCGAGCATCGTTGTGTTGTCCTGCAGCGGAGGGCACAATCAAGGGAAGGACATGAGTCACCTCAAGCCACTAACTTGTGCTATGGAAGTGTGTCAAAACCGATATGTCACAGCTGTCCCTGTCACACTCAATCTGCATGATGGCTGGCTGGATCTCACAGGGATTATTTAAAGATACATTGTCTCTTCCACATCACAGCGCTAACCTGCCCCTTGACTTCGTGTCACCACTTTTGCTTATGTACATGAGGACCTAATGATGCTATTAAAGGGAATCTATCATATATAAAAATATACATATATCAATGTCTCAATAAAAATAAAAAATAAATTGTCCTATGTACAATGTGTAATGATATATGTACATGGGGCAGACATATTTACACAGTAATTATGCTTTAGTGCTCCTACTATTATTTAAACACAAGTCATCACAGGCCCATAACGAGTCACTGCACCTAGGGCTCACTCTAGATAGCTTATTTTAACAGCTGTTCAGCAAGGGAGCGGATTGTACTGTCTGACACACACAACTACTAGGTAGATTATATAAAGTTGGATCATGAAGGCCAGGTTCACACCATTTTCCGGACCAGATTTAGAACGCGGTGCATTGCGTTTTGCCACATTTTTTACTGCAATTCTGCCATCTTCCAGCCAGAGCTGGGTTTTTAGGTGCAAATCCAGTGCGTTTTTGATTCATTCCTATGTGTTCCAGTGCATTCCAGACCAGACAAAATGAGACATGCAGTATTTTTCTGGTGTGGTCTGAAATAGACTGCGCTGGTGTGAACAGAGGCCAGAAATAGCATTAGGATGCATTTTGGGTCCGGAAATTATCTGGATGTGGTGTGAACAGGCCCAAATACATGAAACAGCAAATCAAATTGCATTAAAATAAAATAAATAAATGACATGTAAATGTTGCAACAGTGAGATAAAAAGAACAGTCCGTGAAAACACATTTAGGGGAATTTATCAACACTGGAGCAGACAGAATCTAGGGCAGTTGTCCATGGCAACCAGTCAGCTTCTATCTTTCATTCTCAAAGCTTTAATGAACACTTTGAACATAGAAGCGGACTGGTTGCCATGGAAACTGCTCCAGTTTTGATAAATTCCCCCCATTGTAGTTTCCCAGTAAAACGAATAGCTCTTGTTCATCACTCCCCATTAAACAAAGAGGAGCTGTATAAATCACAAAAGATAAACACTGTATTTGAAGCATTTCATGTAAAGATGGGCTATCATGGTAATTAACAAGTCGTCATCACTCTGCAATAGTGGTCAACATTTGTCTCCCTCTGCCATATGATTAGTCTTGTAGACTTGCAGATGTAAACAAATTTTTTTTCCCTTCAGTATTAATGGAGCATAGTCATCGGGTGAACAATGTAAGTGCAAGAAGACTTTAACTTCAACATGAATAATATCATCAACTGGCGAACAAAAGACGTGCAAGACTAATTTGCTTGAGTGTAAAATATAACATAATTGACTGATGAACTGTATAGCAGCGAAGAGAATTATATTATTCAAGATTAATGGGTAATATAATGAACTGGTTAGCAGTATAGTCGGAAACAGGCATACGAGCAACCAATCAGTAAGTACAGCGTGGAATTGAATCTTATTAAATTACAAATGAAAAAAATATATTAACCAGACAGGTTATGGTAGGCTAAAAGTAACCACAAAGCCCTTCCACTTATCCCAGTTCAAAGAACAGCAAAGACAACTTAAAGTGTATTTCCACTTTTGCAGCCAAATTGGAATAGTATCTACTTTATATTGGTTACACATTCCCATTCACATAGCACAACTTAAAAAGAAATATTTATAAATTGCATCTGACCTTTTTTTTGATGATGTTTCTGCAAACTCCAGGACTGAAAAATCCTGCTTAGTTCTCACTGTCTAGGGAGTTGGGGGGAATTTTGTTTCAAATACTTAAAGAAAAACTCCAGGCGCAAGTGTTCTTAACTCTTGCAGCGGGGCTATCCCTGCATTGCAAGGGTGAAGTGCTGGATTTTGTCTAGGTGCTAAAAAAAAAAAGTTAAACTGACCCGAATCACTGACCCGGCTCCCTGCTTTTCCGGTCACCGAAGAGCTAGACTGGTGCTGGAGAGCTCCTACACGGCAGCATTGAAATGATCATCAGCATCCTCACGTCTATACACTGTTTATGAAACTTGATGAATTACGGGACCTAGACCACTGCAGCGGAGAGAGGCTCCAGGGATGGGTCTAAGAGCAAGCTATTTGGGAAGATCGGGTGAGTAGAACTTTTTTTTTTTTTAACCTAGACAAAAACAAGCAGTTAACTTTTGCAATGCGTGGGAAGCCCCGCTGCAAGGGTTAATAACAATTCTGTTTGGAGTTCGGCTTCAGGCTGGGTTCACACCATTTTCCGGACCAGATCTAGAATGCAGCGCATTGCTTTTTTGCCGCGATTTTTTTTTTTTAGCTTAAAATGGTCTCACAGGTGCGTTTCATGCATTTATGCGTTTCTATGCATTCCAGACCAGAAAAAATGAGCCATGCAGTATTTTGGTATGGTCTGGAACGGACTGCGCTGGTGGGAACAGAGACCAGAAACAGCATAGGGATTCATTGGGATGCATTTTGGGTCCAGAAACAGTCTGGTCTGGAGGGGCAATCAGAGTGGAAGTAAAATGAAACAAATTTTAAAAATCCCTGGTAGGAAGGTTTTGAATGTCTCTTCTGCCGGAATAAAGAAAATATCTCTCCCCAGTAATTTTTTACATTGTGTGTACACTGTATGGCACACAGACTCAGCCCATTTACGGCATCCCTAAGATGACATGAATGGTACCGATGTGTATATGTAAACTAACTTAAAAAACTGCAACCAGTTAGTCTCTTATCAGCTCACCAGCATCTATTCTAAAGTTGGGTACACATGGGTAGATTTTCGCACCGCAAAGTTCGTACGAAAAATCCTGTCGGAATGTTCGATAATGCCATCAGAGGCTTGCCGATTGTCGTTCAAAATTTTGTTTGATTTTCATTTTTATTTGACATTTGATTTTGGAATAGTTTCCCAAACGAAAACCACATTCACCGTTAGAATTTCGTTCGATCAAGAAAAATTCAAAATGTATTCAAAAGTCAAAATGTATCATTGATTCCACTGCATCAACGGTTAGAAAGTTGAAAAAACATTCAAAAATTGATTTTGTTCATTTGAGATGGTTATACCGTACTTAGCCACTAGAAGCTGCCTGTAGAGTCCTAAGTATAATCTGCTCCAAAGAAACAGTTAGAAAGGTAAGACTTTTTTTTATTACTCTTCGTTATGCTTCGTGAATGGGAACACATAACAAACATATAGAGGGGGGTTTCTCAAATTTGGCTTCAAAAGTGCCCACAGTTCCAACAAATAAAAAACAAAATTGCACCGATGCTATTTTTTCCAGACCAAGTACCGATACTTGTCCAAGCTGTAGAGGGACTGCCAATCCCAGCAATACAATATACAGCAATGCAGAATAATATAAAGCTACATCCTCTGTGTTGCTCACCAGGGATGTGCAGGGCCTCCCCAGGGATGTGCGTGGTCTCATAAGGCAGTGCATAGTCTCATCAGGGCTGTGTAGGGTCTGACCAGAACTGTGCGTGGTCTCACCAGGGATGTGTGCATGGTGTCACGAGGATGTGCTGGGTCTCACTATGGCTGTGTGGGCGGCAGCAAGGAGGAGGATAACATGTGCTGCTGGTGCTGTAAACAGCCGACGCGAGGTCCCCAGCAAGCGCGGGACCTTACAGCAGCTGAATGTATTTCAAAAATTTAAAGGGCCGGTATTGGCGCTTAGGTTTGGGGCATTTTCACAAGTATTAGTACTGGTAAAAATGTCCAGTATCGGCACAGATATATGTTAGTATCGGTGCATCCCTAGGGTTGTCCTTATTTGTGGACCGTAAGGGAGTCGTGGGAAAAAAAAAAAAGAATTATCTGAATGGCCTCACCAACTATACTAAAAAAAAAACACTATTTTTGGGGATTTGTGGTGGAAGCGAAATATACAGACATTGTCTTAAAAAAGGCATTGCTGTGCAATAACATAAAAGAAAATAATAATAATGTAATATACAGGTGAAACTCGAATAATTAGAATATCATGCAAAAGTAATTGCAGTAAGTGCTGCAAAAGGGGCCCAAACCAAGTACTGAGTACATATGCATGCTTGTACTTTTCAGAGGTCCGATATTGTTCTATGTACAATCCTTGTTTTATTGATTGCATGTAATATTCTAATTTTCTGAGATTGTGGATTTGGGGTTCTTGGGGTTTTCATGAGCTGTAAGCCATAATCATCACAATTATGACAAATCACGGCTTGAATTATCTTGCTTTGCATGTAATGAGTCTATCTCATATATTAGTTTCACCTTTTAAGTTGCATTAGTGAAATAAATGAACTTTGCACGATATTCTAATTAATCGAGTTTCACCTGTACATTTATTAGACCAAGGCTGGACTAATCCCAGGAGTCAGGTAGCCAATGCTCCTCTATAAATGACAGCTGGTGTCTAAGTTTTGACATTTTCTCTAGCTGTTGTCAATGGAGCTGGCTCCTAAAAAGGCTCCTGGATTGGACAGACTGGATCCTGAATTTAACATTAATTTGGCCCTGTATTAGGCCATGTGCAGGAAAGGAAACCCTATGCAAAAGTATTTTTTTTCCTCCTAAATGGTTAAAGATCAAGAAGTGTTTTTTCGTGTTTTTTTCTTAAAAAGGCAAACTAATCTTTCCAAAATCAGGCTTTACATGGGCTATTAGATTTATCATTTTCCTTCGAAGACGCAGAGACATGCCTTAGTGAAATGACTCCACATTTGGCAATTCATTTTCTGATCCGATCCGATCAGCAGTAGTAACAACCCAAATCCTGAAATGTTAACACTGGCCCACCCACCAAATACCAATCGGGAGGACATTAAAGTAATAGAAATTGTTGTTGATCTATGTGGCCGGCATACCAAACCCTTAACAC